GCTAGCCATTAGTGTATAACTCCATGACCTACGTCGTATCTCTATAACCGCTCACGACATGTTTTTATGGCGCAGTTAATTTCTTACACTGCGGCTATCGACGTTATCTGATTGTTACAACTTATCTACTAATAGCGCGTTTTTATGTTTAACTATACGTTAGCTTCAGTTTAAATATCATTATTTTAAACTGTTATGTTAATTGAAAATAGAAGACATAAGGGTTGTAATGTTATTTCGTACTAATATTGTATGGATAGGATATCATTTATTACGTATCTCCAAAACTGCTAATTTAACAAAGATATCGATCATAATCTGCAAAAGCTCATAGTTTTTTTTTAATTCTACGCGGATGGAATCGCTGGCGACAGCTAATAATACGTTCTAATATCAGCGATTATATTAAAAAAAAAATTTCAATGTTTACCATTTTCTCGAGGTCAATATGTATGTTGTATATTACTCTATGTATGACTTTTATAATCATCCAGGGTTATAAACAATTAAACAACGCGCAGTACCCAATAATCCTATCCATTGTTATCCGTGTATCCATGAACCCTATCCATTGTTATCCGAGGCTCACAATAATCCAGCAGAGCATTCCATCGCTTTGTTTCAACGCTTATCTGAACAAACATTGACTAAGCACCTTTATGTTTGTGTCAATATTTGCACGCGTATTCATTAACTGTCTATTTAAAGAGGAACTCTAAATGTGCAATTTATAAATACTCTACAAATTTTACCTCCAACTGAAAACCAACGTAAACCCAGTTGATGTTACAATTGGCATTATTTTGACTAAATGATGAATTACGACAGTCTACGTAGGAGCCATCGATCTTACAATTACCACTGATATTAAGTACATAAAAAATCCAATTAAGTTGTTTGCTACAAACGATTGTCGATAGCTTTATTATATCTCAGTCCAAGACATCTTATCTTGAGATTTTACGATGCTGCGTCATCTGTACGAGATCATCTATTGATGGTCATTACGTAACTCACAAAGGTAAGCTATCCAAACCAAGAGGATCGACCGCTGAACTCATGACCCAGTTCCCGGGGGTTCGTCGACCGTGTGACGTCACGGCCTTCACCCCCTCCACGCAGTTTCCCCAGCGCTACACCCCCTACGAGGTCATATCGTGACCGTACGCCGAAGGTGGCGGACGTGCGTGCTAGAGTTGTGTAACGAAGCCTTTGATTCGCTAAGTTGACGGCATGACCATTATAGGTTCGTATTAAGGTTACCCTCAGTTATTATTTAGTTTTAGTCGTATATTTATAGTTTACTGATTTCGTTCTCGTTTAATCGACATGATTAATATCGTATTGATTTTTACCGATAATCGAATTGATTTTTACCATTAAATTAAAATAATAAAGTTGACCATCACAGAGTAAACGCCTAAATTTCACGTACCGATACACATTTACATAACTTTACCAGAGTGTAATAAATTGAATAGCAACCAATGCGGAATACCATGACAATGAGTAAGCAACGCAGACTCGATGGTAGGTAGAAAGCCATTAAAAGTTAGTCTCCAGGGAACCTTCTCCTAACTAGTTATGTGCTCGTTCTATCCATTACACAATTACTTAGTTCCCTGAGTACCGAGGAAATTGTTGTATGCATCAAACGTTAGTGTTTCAAATCGAATTTTATACAGTTAACTATCGCGATTTTATCCAAAGACTAGCGTTTGCCCGCAACACCGAACGGAATAAAAATTTACATTTATAATATTAGTAATAAATATGATCATATTAGTAAGAAATGCGCTATTTTAATTCAAAGTTCTTATTAGAATATCTGTTTTAGTTAATCATTTTCAGTGTAACAAAATAGGGGTGCGTGTGACACATTAGTGAGGGAGGATTGCTCGTGTTAAATGCGCCCTTGAACCTTTCAAGTTTGTCAAAATTGGGCTCAGCAGTTGCCGCTATCACGCTACGCTCTTGAAAAATTAAATGTCCCATTAAAATCAATTAAAACCATAGCGCATACAAATTTCTACAATCAGAAGATGGACTGGGATGTAGGAATACTAGTTTCGATCGAATCAACACTTTTGAGCGCTTTTTCTATAATATTTTATTTACTTGCACAAGTTTGTTAGAAGCGGCTTTTGCGCTGTTTTCCGTGTCACATGTTATGTTTGAAACGTTTTAACACTAAAACATACGGCTGTTAATTGACTTCTAAACATCTTAGCACATTTCCAAGAATATTCATGAACGTGTAATAAATTTTTATTATTTGTATTTCCTATGAAAATATGTTTTTTTTATAAAACAACAGTTATAGCAATAAATCTTTGACCGAGATCTTTTATATCTTATTGAGCAATTAAACGCTATATAAAGTTATCAGGAAATGCAACATCAATGAGATTGTGCTCTTGCTCACTCCGATAAGAGAGAGGGGAACAGAGCATTGCTCCGGTGACGTCATAGAATTTCTCGTCCCAGGTGTGACCTAGAATAAATGAATTATTGCCGACATGTGTAAGTACATTTCACTTTATGTCCTTGCAATGACATTATAAAAGTTTATGATTTTTTTTTAAAAGAGCGGAAATTAATCTTTAGACTTGAAGGTTTTAAATTCGAATCTGACCAATCTGATTTTAAGTGTTTATACTCTGTGAATTAATGATTTTTTTTTAATTGGCCTCGTTTACTTTATTTTCAATTTTAAATACTCAGCTTAATTTTAATAACGTCTGATTGTAAGTAATTTATGCTTTATTAATATTGTTCCTCAAGTAAATGCCATTTAAAAGATAGTGGATTGCTCTGTATCGATCTTTGTTCTTTGACGAAGCGACTTCAACAAACTCGTTACAGTAAGTTTTATACGAGCACGGAAATACCATGACTTCAGCAGATATCCGATCGTACTACCCAAGACAGCCTATGTTACCCTGGTATTTCGAAATATTTTAAAACCCTATTGCAATATGCCCTATCACGATATAGCGTAACAGATACCAAATTTAAATAACATTGGTTAGTGTACTTTTCGCCTGGTTTGGCGCTGAATAAACCCAATATTTGTTTCGATGATATTATGAAAATGTTCATCACAAATATTCATTATAAGCCCTTGGTAATCGTGTGTTTACTCTACGCGTTTCGAAATCTTTGCTTGTAATGAATGTTTATTTGGATTTGTCAAAGGTTTTTTGTTGTATTCAAGTGAACTATAGATTGTCTGTTTCTTTATTTGTATCTCATCAATGACAAGGTTATACTTATTGTGACATTTTTATCATATATTGTATTTATAAGGTAATATTAAAAAAAATTTCTAATCGCCAATACCAATGTAAAAGCAAGCTAACTTATCCACGCATTAGACAAAGTATGATGTACTAAATGTTGCTCGCGACTTCGTTCGCGTGTAATAGTATAAATATAGCCTATGCCACTCACTGATAACGTAGCTTTTTAATGGGGTAAGAATTTAAATCGGCACAGTAGAACATACGGGCTACTCAGTTTTTTCAATCCTACGCGAACGGAGTCGCGGGCGAAAGCTAGTGACACATAAATTGTCCCGTTTTTACATAACTCTATACATTTTGTATGTTACGTGTGTTTAATTAGTATAAAAGTAGTATGTTCTAGAATGTTTACATTAATCTAATGACAATTACTTAACACAGCCTGCTGAGTTGTCCCCTCGGATCACTTAAGTTACGAAACAACTTTATTTATAGGCACAATATTTGTTAAAATTTTCCGAACTACGTGAGAATTAGTACAGCGGAATACTGTGTGAATATGAGTGTGCCCGGACGGCTGTCATCTTAAGATTGGGATCTAGTGGATTATTCCAAACCGTCACCCCGCTCAGTCCCCACTTGGAGACAGATGAGAATAAAAAGTTTCATCCGTCCTATCTTTTGCAACGAAGGGACGGTTGTAACTGATTTTATTTCATAATGGTTCCATCTGTCACCTTATTGATGATAGTGGTTTCAAAAGGTGGGACAGATGAAACTTTTTATTCTCACATGGGTACAGAGCGGGGTGACGGTTGGGAATAATTCGATCTAGTATGAACGCAACATGCAAGAATAAAATAAACGTATTAATTAATTACGGCATATTATTCCAAGTATAATCTGTTTTTGTTTCGGGTGTTTCAGCAATGGAAACTAGAAGAAAATTAAACATAGGCAAAACATCAACAAATTCGAAAGGTAGTCGGCAGCGGTCTTGCTATACTGCAGAATTTCGGTGCAGCTTCATAATTTGTTAATGTTATAGATTTAAGTTTTCAATAAACCTATTGTATTAAGAAGAGTAAAGATGGCAGTTTTTTACATAATGTAAAAAAGTGTCACTGAAGTAGATCAGCGAGGTGGCATTAAGCCAATGTCTTATCACAAACAAAAGCCACTCGACCGACAAACCGCTTTTGTTAAACTTGACCAAAGACAAAAGACGCTGCGCAGCTGTTCAAGGAAACCTCTCGAATGTTGAGCACAGAAGAAAAGCGTTCAAGCCAAGGGTTTGATAAAGTGGCGATTCTGTTTTTCAATTACTCTTTGGTTATACAACAATTTTTATTTATCCACATTACTGGCTGGTTTAAAGCTACTTTTACACCATAAAAGACCGATTTTTAAAATCAAATTAAAAAATATGTATGTGCTCCCTTTACAAATGGAGAAAAATAGTAAAAAAAAAACAAAACGTATTTTTATGTATTGTCCTTTCGACTTGTTGCCGATAACCATCCATACCTTCAAAGCAACATTTTCGAGATAGGCTACTTGTTTTATAAGTTGAAGATTATCACTCAAAGGCACCTAAGACGAACGGGTATATCCCTGGTATCAACAAAACTCTCTTTAGTGGTTAGTAGCGGTTTGTTTTTCATGATAAACAATAAGTGCATTGTTTAGGTCGTGGATGGGCGACAGCTCAGAGGGTTGGTTCGCTTTTTCAATGATATAATATTACGTTTACAGACCAGGGTGCGATGCGCGCGCCGAGCGGCGTGGTGCGGTGGTCGCAGAGCGGCGTAGCACCGCTCACGGACTACGCGGCGGTGTCACCATCGCCAGCCACAGCGCCTCAATACCTCTACGATGAACGTATTAACCAGCGTCTTGCGTTCTGGTAAATAAACTATACATAATCAGTAGTAGAACTATTAGCCTACCAAAGCTTTAAGATCTTGTAGACTACGGCTGTTAGAGCGGGCGCACATCTGTACTAAACTACGCAACTGTTGTGCGATTGTCGATTGTTTCGCAGCCAATCCAACTGTTTAGTTGCACGAGTATTGTGCGCACCTCCATATAAGCTCATAGGAATCAAAGAGAGACTAAACAGTGCGATATATTAGTGACAGGTGTGCGGATTTCGTCAACTCTTGAGTATGGCCTATCTTCTTTTCTATTCAGTAACGGTCAATCATTGTTCCCATAAGTAGACTTATATGGTTTGCTTTATTTAATACTAGTAACTTACGCCCGTGGAATTAAAAAAAAAAAAACAAAAGTGAGTAGCCTATGTGTTCTTACAGACTATCCTCTACATCTGTGCCAAATTTCATTGAAATCCGTTTAGCAGTTTAGGCTACAAACTCTAACAAACATCCATCCATCCAAACTTGCACATTTATAATATTTGTGAGATTGGTCGATTTATAGTAAATCGTATCTATAATACTATTTCTATGTATTTTCCAGGCAAGGTGATATCACAGCTTTAGATGTGGATGCGGTAACGAACACTACAGATGAGACGCTGTCGGAATGCAACGCGATCAGTGAGCGGATAATGCAAGTCGCGGGACCGGAACTTAAGGAGGAAATCGTTACTAGAGGACTCGGTGAGACAAAACTGTCGTATCTTAATTTTCTTTTGGATTATATGGTGGCAAACGAGCAAGCGAAGCAACCGCTGCCCAGACATCCGCAATTGCAGATGCGTTGCCTACCCTTATACGACGGAGAAGACCTAAAGGGGACAATTGCATTTTTTCTGCGTCTCCTCCATAATCCACTTTCCTTCCTTTAGAATCCTTACTTTAGACGAAAACAGTGGGAAGGTAAAGGACTAAAATTAAGCCTCCCGCTCACACGCATCAGATGAAACGCGGGATTATTTTCGCGTTTCATTTGTTAGTTGAAGTGTTTTTTTTATAACATAAGGTGGCAAACGAGCAAGCGGCCACCTAAATCCGCCAAAATGGCGAAGCGACCGCTGCCCATAGACATCCGCAAGTGCAGATGCGTTGCCTACCCTTATCCTAGTGTTTCCAGTGAGAAGATGGTAAATCAGACTCTACCGTTGTTAAACTTGCTCGGGGATATTGCACCTTACCGTGTTGTGTTTGCGGCTGAGTGTGCAGAGTGCGGCACCGGCGAGGCGGTGGTGACGCCGGGCTACCAGCTGCGCAGCCGCCACGTGCTGCACACCGTGTGCCCCAACTACCTGCCGCAGTACCACACCGCCGCGGAGACCTCGCTGCACAACTGCTACAAGTAATCATACTAATATTATAAATGCGAAAGCTTAGATGGATGGATGTTTGTTAGAGTTTGTAGCCTAAACGGCTAAACGGATTTTCGATCTAGAAGAACACATAGGCTTCTCACTTTTGTTTTTTTTTAATCCACTCTGACGGAATCGCGGGCGAAAGCTAGTCTATTTATAGTTCTATAGTAATATAATAAAGCGTAAACACACTACTTCGTGGCGTAAGATGTCAGCAATCACAGCAAAGCAAAGTTATTATGGTAACAGTAATTTCGACATTTGCAATTGAGAAATTGACAAATGTAAACGATAAAATAAAGTTTTTATATAATAATTTCATGCGGATGACGCCGCACGGGAACAGCTCGTATCGAATAGGTAGATAGTAATATTAAGAATAAACAATAATATTATTAAGATTACCGTCAAGGGTCATAACGCCTACAAGGGGTTATCATCTACTTTCGAAAAGTCTTTAAAGACATAGCACCGCGTTTGAAGGTGTCGGTACGTTGCAGGAACGTGCTGTGCGCGGCGAGCGAGGCGGGCGCGCGCTCGCTGGCGCTGTGCGTGCTCAACACGCCGCGCAGGAACTTCCCGCCCGACCTCGCGGCGCACGTCGCGCTCAGTTAGTACACTGTACATGCAAACACCTCTCAACACACTCACATGTTCACACACTTGCACAGTTGAGCTGCGACTCAAAAAATAAAGTTCATAGCTCAACATTGTAAAACACTGATCTCTGCACGAAACGCGAATAATTATTCTATGTAAATAAAATAAACTTTCTATAACCTTATTACTTTAACCTTTTGATCTATACTAATATAATAAAGCGTAAACACACACTACTTCGTGGCGTAAGATGTTAGCAATCACAGCATGTTTGTGAATAATTCTTACTTTAATAAAAAGCCGTACACCTACGACACGCTTTAGGCATTGTATTTTGTTATCCAATATCAAAGGCCTTCGTGATTTGAGTTCGTGAGAATTTGACGAATGTAAACGATAAAGTAAAGCATTAATAATTTGATGCGGTTGAAGTCGCACGGGAACAGCTAGTGTAGAAATAAACTACATATATGTTTTGGTACACGCAGGTACAATCCGTCGTCACCTGGAGCAGTGTGCGCTGCCGGGCGTGGTGGTGGTGTGCGGCTGC